TGTTCATTAAAACGCCCACTCATCGGTAATAGCATTGCTAACTTCCACATCAATCCAACACCATTATCAGGGTAAGGTCACAATGTTTTAATGGTTCCAAATACTATCAATGGTATTTATGGATTGATTACCTACTAGCTTTTACCTGCGACTACGTCCGCGTGGATACATGAAAGTACTAAAATAAAAGTAGTCTATTTTTTATTGAGTGGTTTGGGCTATTGCCAGGCAAAGCACTTGAAGCACTGTGAGCTACATAGCAGTACTTCAAGATCTTTTGTGCATTATAACATACGCACTATAGTATTAGCTAACTACGAGTGAAAGACCCATCAAAATCAGTGCAGTTGTTTCTGAGATTAACAAGAACAGACAGACATACGCAAAATTTTAATAACAATACATATATATATAAACTTCTGTAAACAATATCGCATGCCAATATCGTGGCAACCAGTAATTAAGTCAACACTATATACCTGAACTCTTTGCAAGTTATAATAATTGTAATCTCATGGTGTATGTCTTGTTGGTCGCTCAAATAAATAAATAAATAAATAAATAATTTTGTTGATATACATCCGTATATACTTTCATATGCAATTAGCGAAAAGCTATTAATTTTAAATTGCTAACAGAACTTAAATTTTATTGATTTGTATAGGTTGATGCAAATTAGTAATTGTTTCAAACATAGTTACTGATTACATTATTGTTACGATAAAAATGTGATAGTTGAAAACCTTACATCATAATAAATATATATTAAAATTATCTGTCCCGGCAAACGTTGTTTTGCCTTAAAATAAAAATAAAATTTTGGGATGGACTACCCCTAACATTTAGGGGGTGAAAAATAGATATTTGCCGATTCTCAGACCTACTCAATACGCTCACAAAATTTCATGAGAATCGGTCAAGCCGTTTCGGAGGAGTATGGGAACGAAAACTGTGACACGAGAATGTTATATATAAGATATTAATTAATAAGTATATTGCTGTAGTTTTTTTTTTATCGCCCATATGACTGACGACTTTTGGGAGCAAAGAAGAGGTACTAAACTTCTGGGCGACCGTCTCGGTCTAATTCAAATTATGTTTGTTCAAATCAAAGGGAAAGCGTATACAGTGTGGTGTGAAGTTGATTTTTTTTCGCTGTTACTAACTTGTCACATTGTATTCTAAAATCAGTGGCAGTCATGAAAATTAGTTAGCTTTGCGTGTTTGAACGCGGTTTGGCGGTTTCAATTAGATATTACAATACCGCGTTGAGGTTTACTATCAGTGCGTGCTGAGCTGTAATTCATATTTGCTTGTCATCTTATTAAGGTGGAGTTAGACTAAATTAATTAAAGGTAGAATAGGTTGCGGTCGTGACAAAATTGTATATACAGTATCATCATTGCCTTGCCTTTATTCCATTATATAAGGTCAGTATGGTATTTTCCTCTGATCCCTATATATATATCTCTTCTTACTCTCCTTTTAGTCATATCGCCTCACACAATCTATCAATCTTCTCGAACCGATGAAGATGCTACGACTGAGAATGATAACTGACCTATAATTGCATGCATGCATGTAGCATAGATATTGTGGGCAATATAATTAATGGATTGTGTGATAATAATCAACCATTGATAGAAAATGGTAAATACTTTTAATGAAAGTACAAACAGTAACAATGCAAAAGTGACAATAAATATATGTCAATTGTAAATTCTCTAAAGAAAATATATTAAAAATTGGTACAAAAATAAATTACAAAGAATTTTCAACAGATACATAAAGATAAAATAAAAAGATATATAAAGAAACGTCTCATCTGTTTTTAGTGTAGTCAACTTAAAGAGTAGTTGAAGATCGAAATGAATAAATCATGGTATTTCTGCTATATTATTTTTATAGTTATTTTTAATATGTTTTATGTGACAGAAGACGAGTAAGCCATTATTATGTCATCAGCTTACTATTATACGTTATAGGACATAATCAGTAATGTAGTCAATTTTGTACAATTATATACTTGTGCAACTCATGCATTAGTCAGAAACCGTGACTGAGCATGATTGCTATTCATCTTGGTTTGTTGATTGCAATTAAACGACACGTGTAATTTTCTGATTTTATGATACATGGCGCAACTTACATGTGCTGCAAATTATTGAAAATGATTGATAATTTTCGAAGAATTGACACTTATATATGTGAACTTTTCTAACTTAATACTGTTCTCATAAGACAAAACGTGACAAATGTTTTGGGTCAGTTTTATTTTAGGTAAGGAATATTATTTAGCTAGATTAGTGTCAACTGTTTATGTTGATAAGAAGGTTGCTTTGTAAGTTGTTTCGATTGAAGGACGAGAAAAGGCACTATAGGATTTGGATATATCCAGGATTACTTCGTCCTTCAAAATTGCAATGTTATGTTATAGTATCACGATGGTCACTTGATTTCCATTGAACTGCTCTTGTATTTCGTATATAGACGACGGTCACCATCATTTACTACCATCAGGCGGGCCGTCAGCTTATTTGATTTTCATTACATAAAAAATATTTGTAAATTTTTTTTTATTTTTAAACATTCGGAAATAACTTACTCGATTTTTAGAGTATATGATGAAACATGGCCGACAGGCGGTCGGTTTACATTTGTTATTTTTACTTGCGTAGAACAAGTCTGAAGTTGTAATGCATTAATAAATAGGACAAAAACAGAATAATTACACATCGTAACATATTCACGGTAATACACTAAAATTAGAAGTTTGTATTACAAGTAGACGCCTACGTAAGTTATGAATAAATAAGGGTTTATATATAGATTTTATTTCATATTCATATTAGAATCCCGGGGAGAAGCACTACAGAATACTGTAAAAATGTTCTTTATGCTAATTTCTGATATGATCTATCTATACAGCAAATTTAAATTCAATCTTCTTATTACTCTTCATTCTCGCCTATTCTCGCTACACAGGGTCAGCTTTCCTAATCTTGTGGCGCCATGCAATTCGCTGGTAGACATCGTCATTGACAGGCCCAACTCCTTCATGTCTCTATGGACATTAGTCAATCAGGTAGTTAGTGGTCTATGTCATTCTCTTATTACTGTAGTCATGGAATGGAACTTTTTTGTAACGTTGTTTCCGGGTTTATATGTTCATACTACCTAAGCCTACAATCTTTTAAATTTAAATCAAATCCGTTTTTTTAGTTTACGTAATTCGAATGGCAAACAAGCTGATGACTGATGATGATGATGACCCGATGGTAAGCGGTAACCGTCGCCTATACACATGAACACTCCGTACATCACTTTATCATGTGTCATCAGTGATACCACTCATGCGTTACCATTCAGAGGACTAAGACGTCATGCCTATTTACCTGTAAGTTCACTATCTAATCTGTACCCTACAACCAAAATGCCTTACAAATACTGCTTGGCGGTCTGTTAAGTATGTTTTTTATATATATAGTATTAAGTTTAATTAAGTATGTATGTAATTAAGTATATTTTTATATAATATATAGGGTGTAAGAAGGGCGTGATTCGAAGACCAGTTGTCAGTTGCGACTGCCTTTATTGTTAATTCAGCCTACACGACATTTATTTTATATATATATGTATTTTTTAATAATGCACAATTACCTTCAGTACCTTCTGCAATGTCGTGAAAGATCAACTAACATCATACGATCCAGAGAAACTTTCGTTTTTAATGTTTATACTCGTATTAGTAGGATAAGCGCAGCTGTTACAACATAACTTTATCCTACATATCGTATATTTATTTATAAATTGAACTAGCTCTAAAAATGCTTCGTACATTCAACTTTAAAATTATAACCTCAAAGTTGATTTTCCTATTATTGTTTTGGGTTAATACTCTTTTAATTTGTTATTAAGCATACCATATTTAGTTTACAAGCAGAAAAGAATGTTTTTATTGAGAATTCTTTTTGCGCCTTAATGTCTTGACCTATTAATCTAGCGTTTTTGCAACTGTATCGCGTTTTCGGGATTTGATTGATATTTCAAGCTACAGCAAGTCGATATTTCCAACGCTCCTGTTTAGGTTAGATATTTAAAAATAGTTATAAAATGAATATATTTAAAAATAATTATAATACATAGTGTTATTCTTGACCAAAATGTAAAAAAAAACACGAACGAAAAGAAACGTTAATATAGAAACACACATACGTATGTTTCTGTAACAAAACACACAGAATAACGTGTCATAAAACACAGATAAATATAATAAAGCTATCTGCAACTATAGAGATACCATAGATTAAAAATGAATGACACAAATTTTAATATACAATATCCAACGAATATTAAAGAAATGCTCCATTTTAAAGTTTTAATCAACAAACAACAAGTGTAGTCAGAGTCTCGAAGAGATTCTTCATATATTATATGCACTATTTTTACAACCACAAGATTGCAACATTAAAAAGTGGCAACTAACTAACTTTAACTATTATATATACTGCAGAGTTGAACTTAGCTATTTGATTACTAGCTAACTAGCTAGGTATTGAAATAACAGAAAGTTGGTCAATACAAAATGAGGACCCTGATAACCTAATCTAGGTATTACACCTGTGTTATAGGTATCAGTGCTCTCTTGTAACTATGTACTATGTACTATTAATTATATTTTTAGACGTTATTTAATGCTATGTGTGGTGTATGTATCTTAATTACGAAGAGAGAAAGTAAAATATGAATTAGAAAATCTACATGATAATATATGAGTATTGTTTTAAATGATAAGAGTTTTTTTTATGGAATGGTGCACCCGCCTGCGCTAACGGTTTACGCTGGCATGTGCACCAGTGGAGGACATTACTAGCATGGTGTGGTGTGGTAGGTGGTCGGGCTCAGTGTTGGTGATGATAATCTGACAAGATCATCAATCACCTTTCCCTCAATGATAAGTGTTAGTGTGTTATTAACTTACATTCACGTTCTTGTTACAGATCTTCGGCATCGTGATCATAGCAGCAGCATGCGTGGACATGGGTATGATAAAGGGTTTCGCCGGCATGGAGCCGACTGGCCACGAGACTGATGCTGTGCTGATTGCCATTGGTGTTCTCATCATCGTGATAGCCGCGTTTGGGTGTTTCGGAGCATGGAAGGAGAGCCCGAAGTTGTTGTATATCGTAAGTTTGTAAGACTGTAATTATATACCTAGTAACTGAATGTGATTACCGTTGCATTATGCACTTGAATAGGGCTAGAGATATTACAAAAATATTGTTGCATTATCCTTTTATTAAAAACAGCATTTGACGGTTTCGGTAGTCTAGCGGTTTAGCACACCATTTTAGTTCGAATGGTCGCAGGTTCGATTACTCGCACAGTACAAACTTGTATTTATAAGTGTGATTGTTTGGTTTGTCTCTGTGTCTATGTATGTTATGTACGTATTAACAAAAAATGTATCTAAGTATGTCCATTAGTTGCCTAGTAACCATAACACAAGCTTGACTTTGACTGTGGGAATTGTCTTACATTTACAAAAATTCAAATACTTATAAAGGTCTTGTATCGTTCATATGGTTTGACCAATAAATACGTGATATCTGATTTTCGGAATAATTAACTATATTAATTAATTTTAAATATACATAGTTACATATATATAAATAAAATAGTCTAGGAGGTCATGCAGTTGTTTTCGTAGGTAGATGTAGGACTTTTCTAGACTATGTATATGGTTAACATGATAATCTATTGACGCATATCTACCTAATATTTAATATAAGTAGTGGTTTATCTTATAAAACTGAACACACGTTCAAGTATCATTGAAAAGTACTAATAAAACTAATCTTTCTGTCTTCCAGTTCGCGGGTTGCCTCATAATTATCATACTTCTGGAGTTGTCTGTTGGGATCGCGGCTGCAGCTCTCCGTCCCCAGATCGAAGGCACACTCAAAACTCAGCTCCGGGCTTCATTCATCAAGAACAAGTCGACCAGGGAAGAAGACTCGTCCTACAGGGACTTCTGGGATCGGATCCAGACTAACGTATGCCATTGGTTTATTTTAAATTAGAAGCAACACTTTTACCTTAAGTAATAGTATACGTATAATTACTAAATCACGAGATCTTACCACGTTTTATTTTTATTTTGACTACCTCGATGGTCTGGCTGTCTAGCACACCTCTTTACGTCCGATGGTCGCGGGTTCGATTCGTCGCACGGCACAAATATTTGTATTCATGAGTAACGTGTCTGGGTGTTTTCTATGTATAATATATATGTAATTACGAAAAAAAAAGTAACGCAAGCTAACAAAGTAAGATAGCTTTAGCTAGCTTAACTTGGGACCAGATGGCGCTGTGTGAATTGTCCTGAGATTATTATTATTATTATTAAGTTCCCAATATTTCGTCAGTATTTTAACCGCCATGATCAAAGGTAAACTGAAGAGCAGCGGGTAGATGGAAAATAAATCTTTTATGAGCAGATATATTGGTCTACCTTCACACGTTTTAGTTTATGGCTGCTAATGAAGCTCGCTCGATATTCAATCTCAGCAAATTATACTCACAGTAACATCAAGTATACTTTCTAATCACCTTTTATGTTTTTGCCTAACGGGAACGGCCGAAATATCGGGAACTCAATAAAAATAAAACATGGTGAGATCCCGTGATTTATTCATTATACTTATAAATAATATTTGCGTCAAATTTAAACAGTACAAAATAGTATACGTATCTCTCTAGAATATTTTTATAGTAAAAAATAGTACACTGCACTTAAATATACGTATCTTAGCACACCGCTTTACTCCCGATGGTCACGTAAGTAAGTAAGTAAGTAAGTCAAATGACTTAATGACGAATAAATATTCGCATAAATTCCATTAACACGGGTTCCATTGTTCACAGGATTATTTGAATCAGTACATATTATATATGGAAAAAAATGTCTCAGTACTAGCTGTACTCGCGACTTTGTCTGCGTAAAGTATTGTCCTTGACCAAATAATGAAAAAATATTTAACCCTCTACAAAGTTTTATCTTTCTAGCGTTAAAAATGACGATACTTCTATAGAACATTTCATCTTTCGTTCCCTTAGAAGATTGTAAGTTATCTTTATTTATATTTAATGAACAGCCTAAAAAATAATTTTCTAGCTTCTAGCTTTGAAAATGTCGAGATAGACACTCGGACGGATAGAGTTAATAACGCATTTTCAATATTAGTAAGGATTTATATCGGTTATCTAGTACCATAGAACAATTAGATGTTCACATGGATGTCTTTGTACAAAATATACCTCCAATTTGATTTTAACTTATAGCCTATTAAAATACTTTACAGCTCGAATGCTGCGGTATCACCGGCCCGGACAACTATGGCGCTTCTGAGCCACGCCTGAACCCCTCATTCAGCTGCTGCCCCTCTGATGACTCCAATCGAGATGACCAGATCAAGCGCTCCGACTGTCTCTCCCTCGGGAAGTACTACAAAGAAGGCTGTGAAGAAAAGGTGCTGAGTACCGTGCACAGTGCTGGCATGACCGTCATAGTTTGTGGGATTCTCTTCTGTTTCCTAGAGGTATGTGATAAATTGATTATTGATTATGTTGTAGTTACTTTTGTTCTATAAACTTTGATGTAATGGCTTTTCAGCGTATACTAACGCGTACCAGATTAAGATAACAGGAGGAGAATAAAGTCAGGTCACTACGAAAAAATATTCTGCCTCGTTACCTACTTCTTCATTTATTATCGGTCCTGCATTTGATTTCCACGCAATACAATATATAGTATTCATACATACCTTGTATTCAAGTGGTAAAATTTATTTACGGATGAATTCAGTAACAGCTAGTTAATAGAATGCGTTTTTCGATCGTAGAATTGTAGAATAGTTTACAGAAGAAATCTGATAGTCACTTTGTTAGCAGTGGGGCCACTAATACACTTTATTCTAATAGTCTCTTCGCCCAAGTTTTTTTTAACCTTGTACAATTGATACAGCGGGTCTGTCAATGCCCTTTATCATAAGAGCACCCTGGCTTAAGTTTTTTTAACCTGGTCAATTGCTACAATGCCATCTAGTCCCAAGCAACAAAGTTTGTGTTATGGGCACCAGAAAACTGAGATATACTTAGATATTGTTCTTTGTAAATACATACATAATAAACATAGAAAACACCCAGAGTAATACAAATAATCATACATTTATACATCCATACTGGCAAACCTCTGCGTTTATAATAGTAATATAGTAATATATGCATTTAGTTAAAAACAGTTGATTTGAAATTACAAACAGATACTGCAATTTTATTTTGTTGTATAGATAAAAATAAAACTTAAGTTTATTACTTAAATATACAAAAAAATGCAAATGGTAGTGAAGATCGCACGAAGCACGCGATTGTGTTATAATCTTTCAGTAGATCTGACCCAGGCACCTGGCTAGGTCAGATTTAACGAGCCAAGTAGCTTAACACGAGCCGGCCTATTTATTTATAGCAGTCTATTGGTAATGTTTTTATACAGCAAACGCCATGTTTTATGGAAATTTATTACACAAATACGACAAACTGCTGAAAATTAACGCAATATTTTTATTAGTCGAATTTCTTGTGAACGATCTCAATCGTTACGCAACGAACGCAAAGGCAATAAACCTTAACTGAAATCAAAGAAAATTTATTAAGTAACTAAATACTGAAAATGAGTACGGATTATGCAAAAATAACATTTGGTACAAATAATTTTATTAAGTTTGAAGACTTACGTTGAAAAAAGTATCGTCTGACATAACTAATTTCTATTGTAACTTAGCATAGTTTTATTATTGATCCTTAGATGAATTCATTGTGTAGTTTAGCTTACCTACTTCTTCATTTATTAACGGTCCTGGATTCGATTTCAACGTATTACAACATATTGTATTCATACATGCCTTGTATTCTGGTGGTGGACTTTATTTACTGACATATTTAACATACTCTGTGACAATTCCTAATAAAAAAGCTAGAGAAGCTTTTTTTACGTGAAACCTTAACTCATAAACCGACAAATCCTCTCCTAGCCACGATTTTACTATTTTATTACATATAAAAAAATAAACATATCTTATGTTTCAATAGATAATGGTCCAAAACCCAAATAAAATTAAAATTTCAAGGACATTTCCTTTTCAGGTGGCGGGAATTGTGCTCGCTTTATGGTTGGCTCACGCCATAAAGACGCAAGGGAAAAGCCGGGAAACAGCCTAAATTAAGTCACAGTAGATTAATGACACATGTCAGTTAACAGTTCACATTCTGCAGTGCACATATTTGTATGGTAGGCGTGTTAGAGTGTTATATCGATAAATTCCTTTTTATTGTACAAATGTTTAGCGTACTGCCTCGTCGTTTTAATATTTATACATGTAGGTAGATTGTTTTTATTACGTATAATGTTGGAAATATGTCAGTACTTAGATATAATGATTATTAATTTTTGTCTTTTTAAGTTTGAGTAAAAAAATACAATACATGAGATTTTGATTCTATTTACATCATCGTTTCACCATTCGAATTATTTCATATGGATATAGATAGATACAACCCAAATGTAGGTGATGCTGGTCATTAGTTGATAATGAAACAAAAACATTATATCGATATGCTATAAATATTAACGAGAACACGTTAATTATTATTGCATACATTTAAAAATAAACTTGTGTTGATGTGATGTACATGGTATGAGTCTTTTGCTTACTCAATTCGATTGATAGAGAAAAAATAAAATTAGGCAGGAAATCATAAGTGATACTAACTTAATAGTATTTTTTTAAATATAGAACCGCAATTTGACTGTATGTTGCCAGCATATAGGATTGAGAAAATAATCACTACGTTTTTACAAATCAGTTTTCAACATTACATGTAATATAAATTAAATTCTTATTATTTTATATAAAAATACTTTCGTATTTATAGAGTTACCATATACGAATAGAATGAGATTGTCTTATTAATGAATTGCAATAGTATTTTTTATATAATACATAAGGTAGAGTCAGGTACAGTCAGCATCAAATATTGTTGTAACATTTGGGATCTCAAATAAATCTATGAATATGTTAAATAGTGCTTTTCTAATAGAAATACTCCAGTATAAACCTATTTAATGTTTTAAATTTTTTTTTTTCACTTCCAAACGAAAAGTAAAAAAAGGAATTACTGAGTACTGTCAATAAATATATGAATCTGATTGTACCAATAAAACTTGACAATTAATTTAATTAGTTTATTAATTATAATTAATAATACTTCATTTAAGAGAACACTGAATATCGATTTGGTGCTGTTGTTTTCATGAAATTACTAATATAATATTTTTATTGTTTAGTTTTTTTAATAATAGTGTAAATATTGTACCTGTATTGTGCGTAGTTTTTATTACATTCACTTATTATTTATGTTATTCGTTGTATTGAAACCTGCTGCTTTATTACGTAATGTAGTTGCTAACGATTCTCTATTGTAACAGAAAAAATCATATGTGTGATTTTACAAGAATCATTTAAGAGATGCAGTTGCTAACTACGTTGTATAATTCGCAATTGCAACTGTTAATATACGATCGATAATTAATCTCAAAATTGTATAATTTTATGTTTCTATTGTAAATTGTTAGCAACAGTTGTACATAAAGCCATTTGGTCCATTACCAAGGTACTAAACATATATATTTCTTCATTTATATATTTATAGACTTATTATTATTTTAAATTACTTACCTTTTCTTCATAAGTTATATAAATTTCCAGTAGCGATAATATTACACTGAAGCAATTAGCCAGACCGTAACAAAAATCAAAACTCATAAATAAATGAAATTTACCTAAAATTATGAAATAAAATTATTAAATTATGTCTTTATTCTGTATTCAGTAGATAATAAAAGTATCCAGTAATTTCAATTGTTATAAATAGAAAGAAATACTCAATATACGTAATTATTTAAAATATAAAAAAGTTATTTATCATAATTACAAAAAAATAGTTAAATGTTACGTTTACATCTTTATTATAATAGACAAATTGTTTTCTTTTTATTATTCTGAAACCTTAGAGTAGGTACTATGTAATATTTATTAAATTTATATTAAGTTTGCATTTCTTGTATTCACTACTTGTTTCAATTGATACTTTTATTATTGTGCTATTAATTATGTTTAATATTTACATAAGCTTTAATCATTTTTGTTTTAGAAATCTTATTTATAAGTGGCGCCTATTCAGGAGTTTTGTAAAGAGCCAGATGACGTATATAATTTAATTTAACAAAATACTTTAATAAGTAAATATATTCTCTACATATTTTTATGATACTTTTAAACTTGCTGGCCTTTCCATACTTCTCTTGTCCTACAATTTTTTTAATTAATTGGATTGATTTGTAGGTTTTTCTTTACCCCTAGATAGTTTTCTGCGGGTTTCTCCTCTTCCGTTACAACCATTCCTTGGCTAGATAAATCTCTCGCTCTTAAAACATACCTTTATGTCTGATAGCACAAATTATATCTTTTCTTTTTTATTGTATTTCCTTTTTGCTCTCATTCTCTCGCTCTGAAGACTTACTTTTATCTCTGATAGCACACTTTATACCTATTATTTTGTCAAATAATAATTGTGTTTTTACAAAATTGAAACAGTCGGCTCTTTACAATAATAACTCCATACTGTTAAGAAATAGGCCTATTACTAGTCATATAGTTAATAAATAATATTCAATATAATTGTTTAATAAAATACCAAATTCCTCACTACGTGTTTAATTCAAATATTACTTAATTACAAATCTTAAAATATTTATTAATGATTAATTAATAAATTAATATTATGATATTATACTTTTAAATCTGTTATTTAATAAACACATGCTGGAATTAATTATAAATTAAAAATATATTTATTACGGAATTAATTCGATGCTACAATTTTAAATGTATTATCAATTAAATGTATTTTTAAATAAATATGTTTTGATCGCTACATTTAGAATACAATTTCTTATATACTTAAAATAATTGTATTATTTTTATTATTAATATTCTTAATCGACAATGTGACTAGAGAAATCTACAGTTCACATACCGTTCTTTTCATGCTAGGGGCATATTAATGTACTAGATTTATGACATTCATCGAAACCAAATGACAACAGCGAATAACTACAATGCAGAAGAAAATAAAACCGCAACTAAAAGTTTTAGTATAACACAAAACTAATACAAAATTAAAGACATTTCGTACAATTTATGTAATACAAAGAGAATAACATTCTGATTAGTCTGACCACTACCTTAACGTAACTACAATTATCATTATTCTAGTGTTATAAAAAAAATTTAAAATTTTAACACAAGTTGAACTGTGAAATTAATTCATCAATATAAAATAAGTGAAGTTAAATTGAGTGAAATTATAGTGACTTATGAAATTGACAAATGACGGAGTCAAGCCCTAATAAAAAATGTTAGCCCCAATTAAAAAGTGTCTTGTGGTAAAAATATTTCAAAAAGTTAACACTGTTGTATCAGACAGGCATGAATAATTTATATTTCACATATTAGTAAATTGTAGAAATGACCAAGAAATTTCGAATCACAGATGTATGGCTACAATTATTCTAAAAGGTATTTGTTAGTTTGTTTGTAAAACTTTATAGTACAGTTAAATTTAATATAAAAGGATACAACGACACTAAGAATTAAATAATTAATATAATAGCGAGCCTAACTCATTATAGGGATTTCTTGTTTTTGTTTATTACATTTAAGAAAATTTGGTAAGTTGTCAAAATTACAAAATACGAGTTAGATTACAGTTATATTAAAAAACTAATTTAACAGTGTCTATGAGTGTGTCAAATGGCTGTGTATCTAAAGACTAAATAATATTAAAAAATGAAGCATAGTTGGGTTTTAGCTGAGACAATAGCAATCATTAACCCAAATAGGCAAAGGCTTCAACTATTTCCATATTTCACAGCCATTACTGATTTAAAGAATACTACAAACGTAATATTACATAAAGCAACTAACTTTAAAAGTTATAAGAGAGAAAGAATTTAAATTGGTATAAAAAAAATATTTAATTATTACCATAATCTAATTAATATTGAACACGAGACAAGTGTAAGTAATATGTGTTTTATATAATATATTATTGTTATTTAATAGCAAATATTATGCACTTGCAAACAAGCTTCATTCATTCTTCCCGAAATGTTGAATCAGTAAAATTAAAAAAGTTATTTATTCAAGTAGACCATTTTGCCGCTTAGAAACGTCGAATGTTTTGTATTAACATTTTTTTCCCTACAGTCCAGTTGAGTACACATTTACAGATTTAATTGAGAAGAACCGGCGAAAAACTGAACTGCTAGTAGTACAAAGATGTCATACCTATTTCTCTCATTCGATACGGTCTTGACAGAACGTTAGTGATCATTATGTAGTGGGGTAAGAGGCTGATGTCATACGCCTTACGACAGCTCACCATTTCTCCCCAATGGCCATTCTAGTACTCGTGGAGTGGACCGCCTACTGCTTTGACTTGGTTCGTCCATAGCATGTGTAATCCACGGGGTCTAGTACCGTCAACTCTTTCCTGTATAATAAGGCGCTGGATATGCGTCGTTTCTTCGTGAGACGTAACCAAAAAAGGTAAGAATACGCAATTGTTTTATTACTACTAGACGCTGTGTAACGCCGAGATCTTCGAGTATAGAAATATTTGTCCTAAATTCCTTGACCTCCTTGAACTGATCCTTGATACCCGTGCCTCTATACTCTGTAGTTTTACTGCTATATGTTTACCCTCAACCTAAACACAAAGTATACAAAGCAGTCTAAATGACAGCCGAAACAGGTGAGACAAACGCAGAAGGCTTTGTACAAAATCAATTTGTGTAAAATCAGTATTTTTACTTTGTAATGAATATTCCACACTTGAACGAATGAAAAAATAAGCACTAAATAGATTACGCTCGAAGCAATTAAAAAAAATATAAAAAATGAAATACAACAATTAATTAATTAAATTAATTAACCTACTTATTTAAAGTAAACGACAAATTTAAGAATTATTAATGATAAAAAGACAGCTAGCTCATGTACGAGTAAATATTTAAAGCGTTTTGTGCAATTACATCAAATGGTCCCTTTGGCGTTATAGCCACAGCTGTATTTCGTATCAAAAGAGATCAAGCATATCACAATATTAGCCTTTGAAATCTCAAGATTTTCTACTTAATACAACTATAATAAAGAAGTATATATAATATAATTAATATTTAATATTAATATAATTAAATGCAAAAACATATCCAAATATATTTTTTTTGTAGAACTAGAACTTTGGATTTATTTAATTTGGACGAACTACACAGTAAGTCTAAAGAAGAATGGTCTCATATTTGGTGTAAGTCTTTTACGGTCTTTGGTCTAAACGTTTACATAATTATGTATAATATAAATAAAAAAACATTTATTTTGAATAATAATACTTATCATAATAATTACTTATAATTTAAACGTTAATATTACACGTGTTTTAAATTATTAATGAGATCGTAACGTAATTTTAAAACTAATAGATACTTAATACTTACTCTGTGATAATTAAGTCAATATTTTGTTATTATAATCTGTGCTTCGTTATAATATATTATGTTAGTTTTATTGAAAAAGTCTTGCAGTTTTATAATTTATATCTCTATCAATTTTGTAAGCATATGTTTTAGATGTTTTTATATTTTTAATCCGCGTGGCTGTACCTAATTATCTTAAATATATAATTAACATACTAGCAAACCATCCTTGCTTCGCATGAGTGTACAATGTGACGTAGATAATAAACTGTGCATTTATTAAATATAAATCTTCAGAAATACTTGAAATGACACCATATCGGTATCCGTTGCGTGATCTAGAAGTAAGCGGAAAAACAGACAGACAAAAATAGTGACTGTTTTATATTATTACAAAAGAAATAAATTATCCAGAATTCTAATAATTTTGTATAAGTTACTTTAATATCTAATAGTTTTTGCAGGCGTTTGTAATAATTTGTAATTTTTTAAAATCAATTAATTCTATATTCTAAAATTTAGATTTCTTGATTTAGTACTTTCGATTACGGCAGTCAGTCAAAATAAATAAGATTATTGGAATAAAATTTCGAACTATATCAAAAAATGTTTGAATTGTATAAATTTTAACTTTCAAAATGTGCTTGCAAATTTTGCTGCAACTTGCGACGCTCCGCTCGTATTGTTCTGGTCATCCAAAAAGCTAGCACAATGCAGAGTATCTGTAATAATTAATCAATCATATTATTATAAAATTACAGTATAATTAATTAAAATCAATGATTGGTACCGCAGAGAAATGCAGAATCATTGTTTTTAAATATAACACATATTTCTGCATTACCAAACACTTATTATTTGCAAGCAACTAACTTAACTATTATATACACTAATACCGTACTTAATATTTCTCCAAGAAGTTTCCAGTAAATTGTAGACAACTACTTGTTACCTGTAACTTGGTCTGCACAATTTTTCTTCTCATATATCATCCTTATTTCACCCTTCGCGTGTTATTTTTTGACATAAAGAATTCGGCAAAATTTCAACAAACAGATCTACATCTAGAGTACATGGACAATTTATTAGACCACCAAGGTCGTCCATATATATTAAATATTATGAAACTTACAAATAATGGATTTCTAACAAACCTCTAATAATGCAAAAACCACGCCGGTAGATATGAATATGTTTCCCTTCAAAGCCTTCTTCTGCCTCAGAGATTCTTCGCAACCTTTCATGTAATAGGTACGCTCAGATAAGCAGGTGGCATGAAGATGCTTCCTGGCTCCGCCTTCCCGGAGTGGGTGAGCTCGGGCGCAGCATGACGGTGGAATATCTCGGCGGAGGATGCTGTAGTCTTGAGGTCCATCCACGCCACAGCAATGATTCTGGATACAGAACATTTCAACGATCAAAACCCTAATATCTAACTGCTACGCCCGGATTAGTGAGTGAATGAAACTCTTTATTATTCCTCACACAGAAAATATAGTTACATACACATTTATATATAAAACAACAAAACAAAGAGGTGACAATGGGTGACCTTATCGCTAAATCAGTGATCTTTTCCAGGGAACCTTATGATGGGCAGAAAAGTGATTAGACTGCATCTGGTAGAGTTGTAACAATAATAACAATATTGATCTTCTTTTAATGGTAGAGTTTTTTAATTATGAATAAAAATTCTTATTATTACAGGTTTAGAACTGACAATTGGTTCACAAGATTTTTTTTTATAACATAGGGGACAAACGAGCATGCGGCTCACCTGATGGTAAGTGATTACCGCCGCCCATGAGCACCCGCAACACCAGGGGAATTGCAAGTACGTTGTCGGCCTTTTAAAAAGGAATAAGCTCTTTTCTGGAAGGTTTCAATATCGTATCTCGATTCCACAATGTGGTTGTGCGAGGCAAAAAGTTTCTAGAAAACCGCACTGTGGAAGACCGCCATTCATCCAGATGATCAGGATGGTATTTCAGTTTCTGGCGGGTGGTACGGTGGTGAAACTCAGCAGCTGGTATTAATCCGAACAATTCCTCAGAACACTCCCAGTGATATATGCGGTAGAAAATGCACAGAGATGCAATATCACGCAGCAAAGCCAATGGGTCGAGTCTGTCACATAGACGTTGATTACCAATGATTCTGGCTGCTCGGTTCTGAATGCGGTCAAATGGAAGTAGCTGGTGCCGGATCTGCGCCTTGTATAATTGCAAGCGATGGGCGGCAGTGAAATACCGTCTCACTCTACTGAGCACACCAAGCTTTAGATATATAGGTGATTCTGGTGCGAGATGAAGCGATTACGTTTAGTTCTCATTCTTGACCAACTAAAAGACTTAGACTAACCTCAGATTGTAATTTATCCCAAAACGCCTTGTTATTAAAGTCGTCATCAACTGTAGTATTCTTGTAGAATTGAAGCCGAAGTTCGCTGCTCCCTCCCACCCATGCACTGAGGATTGCTCCCCCCACACTCACCACTACTTCTACTGACACCAGGAATATGAAGAAACTGGCGTGCTGTGAAAAAGATATAAAAGTTTCCTTCAAATAAATACGGTTACGGCTGCTAACTAAATGATGACTCTGAAAAAAATTCATTAGCATATGCATATATGTCACAACTGTCATACTAATTTAATTTATTTATATACAAGCTCAAATGAAAAGAATAAGAGCCCACTTTCTTGATAGTTCTTTATAGCTTGAAAGCATACCGAACTAACGGTTGGTTTGACTTGTCATAAGCGTGTAAACAAATAAAGTTATTTTAGTTTCATATCATTTGATTGAATAAAAATGTTTTAAGCAATAGTATAACTTGTCAAAAGCAAAATATGTATTCGCTATGTATTTTTTATCCAACTGAAAAGAAAAAGAATATTGAAATGACGACCTCGGTTGTCTAGCGGTAACCGCTTTACGTCCCATGGTCGCGGGTTCGATTCCTCGCACGGCACAAACATTTGTATTCATGAGTATGATTGTTTGTATCGGTCTGGGTGGTTTCTATGTATATTATTTATGTATTTCCGAAAAAAACAATTATCTATGTATTTGTATCAGTTATCTAGTACACATAACACAAGCTTTAGCTAGGTTAACTTGGGTCTAGATGGCGCTGTGTGAATTGTCCTGAGATTATTATTATTATTATATGAACATCACCACGGACGTAACGAAATGAATTTGTAACAACTCTGGCACCATACATACTTTACTATTCCTAAGGATTAAGGTGCCAAGACTTCTTACCCTGCTGTTCTGTTACTGCTATATATCACAATTAAAATATGAACTAAGCTTGCTATGTATTCTTTTTGACAACGACGTATACGACAATCTACGAAAATTCAATACGTGTAGCTGAGTTTTGGAAACATAGGCTTTTTAATTATTTTTTTCTCCCATAATTTGTAGCTGTTCATGATATTTCTTTCATTGTCAGATTATTAGACATGTATTTACGTATGGTTTTTATATGTGTATATATATGTAGCCATTTATTAGTATATATTTGTATATGTATTGTCCAATATATTATTTACTTATATTTGCACCGCCAACAATTATTCTCTGCACCACCCATGGTTGACTGGTAGATAATGCCGCATGGTGTTAAGTCCGTCATATGTACTTTAAAGTTATGTGCATTAAAGTTTAAATAAATAAATGAATTGCAATAGGCTAAATCTTTCTAATACTTACCACATATAGAATCTTGACGTGTTCCCTCAAGGCTCCTATACAGCCGAGCACCGCTGACACCACTAAACACAAGCCGAGTGTCAGAATGAATACCAATACTCCTTTAGATACAGCCGACTGTTCAGGATGAAACTTTTTCTCGCGCAGATTCATCACGCAAATTCCCATCAGGACCAAGCCGAACAACTGGTACAAACCAATTAATAAGTATGAATACTTGTAATAATGTTAATGTGTCAGATTGCAGTCGTCAGTCTTAATCGTCAGATTTGAATGTGTACTTAAGTTATTTATAATTGGGCTATGTGGCCTGAATTAAATAAAATAAATAAAAAAAATATTAACTGACGACATTGTGGTGAACGCTATATTTAACTTTCCCAAATTTACGGCTTCTAGAATTTTTGTTTCGTAAAGCTGTAAAAGCTAATTGCATCAGCTAACTGCTCGAATCACAATATTAAAAAAAACACATATCATTATGAATTAAAAAAACAGAAGCGTCAGTCAGAAATATAACAGAAAGTTTTTATTACCCGCCAGACTCGAACCTGTGACTTTTGTAAAACAAAGTAGTAAACACACTAGGCCTTAACAAAAAAAAAATCACATACAATATATAAATACGTAATGTTGAGACTTCAATTATAATAATTAATTACGATCTAACCACCAATATTGAAAATTACATGATTCGATAAATTATCTACTACAATATGAAACTAAAAGAATTAAAGAATCAATAACGCCTTGGAATAATATATAAGTACGCACTACTAAGTTAGCTATCGATTTGTAAAATTAATTATAAATTACTTACAATACAAACTGTATTAAAAAGCGTGAGAAAGAACTTCATACAACGTAGACTTCTGGGTTTCATGTTGCCTCACAAAATGTCTCCTCACAAAAATATATAATTTGTCACAAAATTTACAAAGAGGCTTTTGATAGGTCCGGTGCTGGGGCAGTGGACATCGGAAGTGAAGGCTTGTACGCTTGTATCGATCATTGCATTTAACGCTGATGGTAGTTATTAGTGGTGATCACTTAGTGATGAGCGGAGCGGATTTTAAACCGCTTTTCATATTTTTAACATGGGATTATTAGTGATCTGTTAACAAGCTTTCTGAATCTGAAAATAATTATTGTTTAAAATACGTACAACGAACATATTAAATGTTTCTATAGGATTGTAAAGCGACTTTTTAAAGCTCTTTTTTATACCTTGGATATGAGGTTATTAATGTTTTGATATTCTTTCCCAATCTGATAATATATTGTTAAAAATAATGTAATATCAAAATACAAACTCTTGATTTTGTGTATTGACAAATATTAAGTAGGAACATTTCATTATTATATACTTAAATCACGTGTAATTAAGTTTCGAGCCAGTCTCCGTCTGAATTGTACGGGGGATCGACCGTCGAAATATCGGGAGCCCTTAAATAATAATATCATGGTAAATATCTCGATTATATATTGTGTACAATTTATTCGAATAGATATCTAATCGGTAAATTTCAATCGATTGTTATCGAAATACAATGCCTTTCTCTGTTTCAAATCGATTGTATAATTAATTTCAATTCCGCTGCAGTGTCCGCTTCACTCGTCACCATATCGCAATATATAGAACGTGGGAATCCATATGTTCCGTACCCACACTACAGGGACTGGCTTTTGTCTTTGTTGTTAACTACATACTTTTGTACCTATATCTAATGTAATAATTAGTATATCGCAAAACAATTTATGCATTTCTTTGTTCTGTGACAGGGTAAGAATATCACCCATCTCTTTCTTTATTCTACTTCATAAATAAGACGGTATGACTATTATGTTTTTTCTTGGTGACTACGAGAACAAAGGAAAAACGTGTTTTTTTTTCTTTTGATATATGTTGACTTTCAAGAAGGGTATATTAAGGTTTCTTAAGGTTCGGCAACGCGCACGTGACACCTCTGGTGTCTCAGGCGTCCATAGGCTACGGTTACCATTTACTTTTACCGTTTACCATCAGATGGGCCGTATGCTTGTTTACCACCATCATAGTATAAAAAAAACGAAAACTCGAAATAAAAAATTCCCTGACTACCATGATAGCAGTGGGTTCATCCCAAGTACCATGAAGGTTTTTCAAGGTAGACCTGCATATCTCCTCAATCAAAAAAATACATTTCAATACAGATTATCTAAATGATAGTATCATCATATCAATGATCTATTTCCAAAACGCTGTAGTCATAAATTTTATGTATAAATTTGTGGAGTAATTAATAAATATTAAAACATTAATTAAATTGATGCCTACATATTTAATTAATGACTTGTTTTTTTATTCGTTATAGGGAAATGTTTTGTTCTAATAATAATAATAAATGAATAATATAATCATATATATATTTCATTTCATAAATAAATTCATAACATTAATATAATACACATAGACCTGTATAAATATACATACTCATGAATATATGTATGCGTTATGCGGAATCAAACCGGTGCACGTCTAAGATGAGGCAATGACTTAACGGTTACGATAATTGCTAGAGGTAAGGAATCCCTTTCTACGTAGTAAGCCAGGGCTTCGGGGAGCTGGGCATCCGACATACGGGACAACGTCGCCCGAGGCACGTTCTCATTGACCCCGACGATCCCATAACGGCAGGTGGGGAGGTTACCTGCTGGGCCCACTCGTTCCACCCCGACCACACTTTTACACACACACACGACACCGTCCTCGCCGGCGAAGACGACGACCTCAAACACACAATATCCGCATTCAACCGGGCGCCTGCGCGCGTCCGTCCACTCCACACCGGCGCCCCTCCGATCGATCCCCCGTCCAATTCAAACGGGGATCGAAATTACGACGGCCTGAGCCGAGGTTCGAACCCCTAGTGGTGCCCTCAGACTGAAGTCGTATCCGTCAGGCAGGAGTTGGCCTTCAGCCGTTCCATAAGTCCTTCCGCGGTTTGGAGTGCCATCTGCACTCGCCCCCTAACATCCGGTGAAGCTGTAAAGGCCAGCTGCGGCCAACAGCATTAGAGTGATCCGAAAAAAAAAAAGGGAGCTGGTCCAATTCCCAGACGCTTCATGTTTCTCCAAACACTCCCATAACTCTAGAGGTAGGGAAATAAGTAATGAAAAATAAAGACCGTGTGTTACGAAAGTTTTTTAATGTTCCTTTTTAAATTATTCATTAAAAGATATATACAGTACAGCTACAGATACGAGGTTCAAGTGCCAAACTATTAGGCTCGTGTAGAGAAGAAAAGTGAGTGATATTTCACCACTCCTTTCTCTAGAAAGAAATACATTATTTGCTACATTACAATGCTGTTTTAAATTGAATGACATTATTTAGGTAACTTACAAAGAAATATTAAATAATGGGTTTGCATAGGATGCTCTCGAGCGCGTTCGTATGCGCTCGGGTGTGTTCGTATGCGTTCGGGTGCAATTATTGCAGATAATAATTAATAAATAATCTTCAATTTTAAAATGAAATACAGTTCAAGTTACTTGATATTAATGTAACGTACTGTAGGTGATTTTTTTTTAATTAATGAGCATTTTTTAATGTACATATATTCATTATAGGCAAAAAATATCCTCATTATAATAATGGGTACTGCTTGTAGGGTCTGTTCTGCTCTGATATCTATGACAAGTCATAATATTATATAAGTACATAAAAATTTGAACTAAAGATTTTATTTAATTTTACAATTTAATATTAAAACAAAATATAATGAAGAAAGAATTAGTATTAATATTTGACTGTATCTCTATGTACTTCGACATTGTTCTTGGTGTGGTTTGTAAAGAACATAAACAACATTTGCCGGGACTATAATTAAAATTAACTTATAACAAAGTGACAAGTCATAATATTTATGAAGTATATAAAACTTAAAGTAATGAGTGATTTAAATCTGTTCATTCTTGTATTGTTGAAAATGAAAATACAAATATAAAACGTAAAGTAATGTGTGTATAAAGTGATTTAAATCTGTTCATTCTTGTATTGTTGAAACTTTACAATTTAATAATAAAATATAATAAAGGACGAAATGGTATTAATACTTGACGGTGTCTCTGTACACTTGGACGCTGTTCTTGGTGTGGTTTGCAATGAACATGGCTAACAGCATGCCCGCTGCCTGTAAACGATCAATAATAATTAATTTTACATGATACGTACATCTTCATGACGGCAGGTCGATACTGCGCACCTTTCTATGTATGTATTTAAATGTCGTCACACTATGTGGTTTTGTTTAATACTAGCTGTGCCTGCGACTTCGTACGCGTGGAATAGTCACCTTTTATAGGATTTCTTATTATTTAGGGGTTGTGAAAGGGGTTTAGCTCTTTCAATATTCTCATTGACAAGTGGCCTATGTCTTTTTATATTACTTTCAAATTGTCACGGTCTAGACTGAGTTCCAAATTTAGTATAGATCGGTTAAGTAGTTTTGGCGTGAACGCGCGACAGATAGCCAGAGTTTTTTTTATGGATGATAATGAAATGGTGCACCCGCCTGCGCGAACTGTTTACGCTCGCGGGGCACCAGTGAAAGATGATAATATGAATATGAGGTCAGGTCAGTTAGGACAAATTCACTAGGAATTTATCACGATGGTTTCCAGGAGGAACCGCGTGGAGGTCGACCTAACATGGTACATTGCCAGCAATGGGGATTACTAGTTCCCATTACTAACAATCCCCTTGCCCCCTTGATAGGCAGAGTTATGTATTTATAATATTAGTAAGATTTAATACTATCTACGCCAGCGGCGTTTAATACATTATTACTGTCGCTTTAAATCGAGGAAAGTGGTCTACCGGTTTATAACAGTGCTTTACTTGAGATGGTCGAGGGTTCAATTCCTCCCACGATACAAACGGTAGACACCTCCAACAAAAGACCTTATTCCTTCTTAAAAAGTCGTCAACGCACTTGCAATTCCCTTGGTATTGCAGGTACTTATAGGCGGCGGTAGTCAAATACCATTAGGTAAGCCGTAAGCTTGTTTCTCCCCTATGCTATAAAAAAGTAAAAAATAGTCTAGCAACTCGGTGTTTTCTCTTATTTTTAATTTTCTTTTCTCTAATAAATAAATAACCCTAGACAATTAATTACAGCGCCATCTAGTCCCACGGTAAGCAGAACTTGTGTTGTAAATAACTGATATAAATATGTAGATAACTTTTTTTGTAAATACATACATAATATACATATAAAACACCCAGACCGATACAATCATACTCGTGAATACAAAACATTTGCACCGCGAGGAATCGAACCCGCGACAATCGGAAGTAAAGCGGTGTGCTTAACCGGTAGACTACTGACGCTGTTAAGTATCGAATTTAGAACATTGTACCATATTACATAGAGACTCGGATGCGAGTCGTAATGTAACGTGGTATGGCCAGAGTTAGCGAGTTCGAGTCGACCAAGCCAACACGTAAATATGTCGGGGTGTATGAAGTTTGCGGAACTCGATTTTGAAAAAATTGTTTATCGCGTCGTCTTAAAAAATATTTAATAGTAAAGGTTACCTCAAACCAAATGCTCAGTACAGCGGCGCCCAGCAACCATTCAGCATCTGATCTCAACATGCCTAAGATCTCATCTTCACAACCATCACTATAGTAGCTGGCGGAACTGTTAGAAAATTTCATCATATAGAACATAGTTATCCAATTCTACTTATAAGGTACCCACAATATAATTAGAGGTTTAAAACTTTTTAGGAATACGCACATAATAATCTATCTACCTAATTCACGTCTCGCTAGTCCAGTTGTTTAGCATACCGCCTTACTTCTTATGATCGCGGGTTCTCTTCCTTGCACGGTAGTATTCATGAGCATGTTGCTTGAATAGGTCTGGGCATTACAAATACAAATTATGTACTGTGCGAGGAATCGAACCCGCGACCATCGGAAGTAAAGTTGCGTGCTAAACTGCTAGACCGCCGAGACCGTCAAACATAGATATGTGTATATACTTACACAAGGCACGCCTTGTAAAGTTGTTCTTGAGCATAAGCATTCCTGGCGCGGTATGCGCGTGGACAGCACGACATACTGATGGGCTGCTTGGTCGCTTCATAATCCTCAGGACCGTTGAGGCCACAGCATTCATACTAAAATGAGTGGAACAGATTACACGCACAAGAGGTAGTCCTATATCTTTTTACTAACATAGGTAAGGCAATTGCTAAATGCGAAACTTTGTGAGTATGTTTGGATGGATGGATGGGTAGAGGTTTTTTCTTATTTCACGCAAAAACTACTGAATGGATTTTGATGAAACTTTACAGTTATATATCTTAGACACTAGAATAACACACAGGCTATAAATTTCACGCGAGAATAACGCGGTCCCAACTAGTTATCTATATATTAATACGTGAAACAAAAATTTTGTACCCCTTTTTAAGCAAAGTGCCGCGGACCGAGGAGTACGTAATTTCGTATACTTGTAGTTTATATCGAGAAGAAGTGCAGAATGCTAATAATTATTTAAAAATATGCATAAAAAATACATTAAGTCAGGAATAGAAACATTACGTGCACTGCCATGTATTTGACAAACAAGCATACCTACTCTTTTGTTTATTGTTAAAGTTTGTGGTCAAATTGGGAATAGATGAAATCTGTGAGTATAGAAATCTTTGATAATAGAACCTTAATAGTGTTCAAACTCATAATTTAAATTAATTATGGATGAATTCCGACCATTGGACAACTACTAGTAGTTCTAAAATTAGGGCATTGTTATACTTTCTTTTTCTCTTTATTGAGATAGAAACTGATGTTAGAAAATTCACTCGAATAAACAACAAAAAAAGACGAAAATTGGTTTTCCGTATTTGCTTTGTTTATGCATTGCATGTTTGTAACTATTTAGTTGATACTGCCTCTTACTGTTTGGGATAATAGTCGTGAATATTTTATTATGTTTATAATACTGACTGTAGTCTGCAGCTTATCCCAATGTTTCTCATGTAACGCCTTCTCATCGATCGTCACATTGCGATAGAAATCTTCCCTGATGTACTCGGTCACTCTGAACTCTAGCCCGTACCGTTGTATGGCCACGAATATTGTAATCATTAACTCCAATATCATTACAATTAACAATAGTCCAACGTACTGAAACAAAAAAATGAAAAATGTTTATGTCATTCAAAAACAACAGCTCATATTTTATCGAAGTAGGTGTAATTTTGAGGAAGTTAATATCATTAAAACTGTGATTGTTACAGCCCATGCTATAAATACTACAAATGACGTAGTGGAGTAACTTGAAACAGTCATGCTCGCTATAAAGTTCAAACTTGTGGCGACGTGATGGACCGAGTCAATGCAATCTAATATGGTTGTGGGTAATGATGGCTGGCTCATCCGTAGTACTTGTGAACGAGTGCTACTTGTAGGGACTGGTCTGTTCGGATTAGGAACACTGATTACTCTATTCTCACACGTTTGACTTTCAAAATGAATCTGTATTATCGTAAACAATATTGAAAAAGAATACGAGCTGAGTTACTTGTCAGTTCTTCTCAACTCGAAAGCATTCCAAAGTGACGGTAGATTTAACATATGCAAAGAGTTTGTAATAGACCTACATGAATAAACATATTTTGATTTGATTACATAATGAAGTAGTAATATCCCTGAACAATGCACACTGCACAATCTTGTCCCAAGCTAAGCAGAGCCTGTGTTATGGGTACTAGAAACTGAAATAAATACTTAGATATATTCTTCTTGTAAATACATACATAATATACATAGAAAAAAATCTGCTAGTTTTGAATAAAAAGAACCTAAATAATCATATAATACTAAGTGTATTGATTGTGGAATAAACTAACTGCCGAAGAACTTGCAAGAAGGGAAAATTAAGGTTTCTTAAGAGTTGCCAACGCATGTGACACCTTTGGTGTTTCATAGGCTACGGTAAGCGTTTACCATCAGATGGCCCGTATGCTTGTTTGCCATTTACGTGGTATAAATAACAATAATAATCATGTAAACTTAAAATCTATGGGAATATAAAATGTTCTATTCTATTCCATTACTTACCAAATAAAGCACCTTAACATTATTCCTCAGTACGCCGACGCATCCAAACACGGCTATGGTAACAAGTAGAAGACTTCCCACGATGACAACCACATCACCAGCATAGGTGCCTGCTGCGTACTCATCACCATACTGCTTTAGCACCCTGGTGTCAACTACGGCGAACCCGAAGACGCTTAGTGCCACCAACTGTAGTAATTTAAGTTCAGTTACAAAACGAGTAAATAAAATTCTATTCTATTCTACGCTCAACTATGTAAGGCTACCCCTTACATAGTTGAGTGCAGTCGCTGATGTAGATAGTCATAAAAAGCCCCGGCTTTATACTCTCCATAGAGACTAAATAATATCAGATTTATTAATTCTAATAGGGAGCTATTCCGAATTCTTAGTTTGGTTAAAAATACTGGAGAATAAATATGACATAATAATAAGCCAAAATCGCTGGAAGGCATTGGATTCGAGCAGCGCAAAAACCGATCGTCGTGTAGAACTTTGGGAGAGGCCTATGTCCAGCAGTGGTCGTCTTCCAGGCTGGAATAATGAGGGAGGGTCTTAATGTAATACCATATCATTTAAAATTTTCTTTATGTACTAAAATTTATCTAATTTAGATAAATTTTGGTATAAAGAGAAATCTTCTTTATATACTAAAATTTACCTAATTTAGTTTATTTTTTGTATAAAAAGATTTTAAATTGATAGAGTATGCAAAGCGAACTACTATAACGACACAAATAGGTGAAATTGATTTTACAATAACAGATTAATTTTGATCAAAATTTATTGGTTTGAATTAAGTAGAGTATACAGTTTTATGATTGCTTCACTATTTATTAATTGTTAACATCGAAACGGCTGTACTTACTATAACCAATCCATTTAATATCAATAGAATAGTTTTAGCACAACCCGCACTAATTCGCAGCCAGTTCACCATGGTTATTTCAAAACAAATATGTGTTCATTCACTATATTAGCTATGTTTGTATTAAACTGTATCAATAGTTCTTCCAGTAGGGACCAAACTATGACATTGAATGAAGTGTCATATAGGACTATATTCATGTACTTAATTGTAATGGGAATTTACATGTGTTGTGTCCATAATTTATAAAGCAATCACGTGTACAAAGTAAAAACAGGTGTAGTTATAAAGGAATCGATAATATGAATATTTAAAACTGCATGTGCGTTTTTCCTTAGCTTTCAATAAATAAAGAGGAGAAAATTGTTTTTAATGCAACACTCTTTTAGATTTATACATATATTTAATTTGCAATTCAATGGTTAGACAAATTCATTTAATAAATTCGTCACTTAAAACAAAACAATTTTAGTATGCACTTTATTTTTATTAGCAATTTAACACTATAATTATTTGCATAGATTTTTAGGTTCAGTTGCCATACTGGCAGTGCTAACTATTCTATAATGTTGTTTATTTGACCAGGAATGACAATCGGCCTAATAAATACAATTATTTTCCGCGTGTTTACTATTAATAGCCATTAAATAATATTATTTATACTGACACTCATCCAGATACCTAATATTATTACTCTGTACATATGTAATATAAATTGACTTTATTTTTGGCTATACAGCAGTACAATGTTCTTGTACAGCCAAAAACCGTACCAGATGGCAAATTGAGAGGAGCTCTTTCGCCAAGGACAACAACGAAGAGATGCCATCCTGAAAGTCACGACCACTCTCCCTCACTCTCACTCTCTCTCAGTGACCAACTGAAGAAAATTTTTAAATAAAAGCAAATACTATACTAACTAACTATACTACTTGACGACCTCGGTGGTCTAGCGGTCTAGCACACCGCTTTACGACCGATGGTCGCGGATTCGATTCCTCTCACGGCACAAATAATTGTATTCATGAGTATGATTGTTTGTATCGGTCTGGATGGTTTCTATGTATATTATTTTGAATATTAAACGTTGAAGGTAGAGTTGCGATATTATTTTGTACTAGTTTATTTTTTTTATATAATTTGTATACTTATTTTATATCCCACGGTGTTATCAATAAATTCATAATTTAAAATTACAAAGAACGATTTCCAACGACAAACAGTATTGGTCCACCAAACAATGCGTTAATACTGTTGCTAGAATATTCGGTTTTGTTCATATTTTTGATAAAAGTCAATCAGAAGTCGCGGATAACTATTCTATATTGCATATAAATATATTGCTGACTTCGAATTAGTATGAGTTAAGGGCAGGAAGAAGGTACTGACTGCGGTATGGTAATTTAACATACCGCTTTACTTCCGATGGTCGCGGGTTGGATTCCTCGCAGGGTACGAACATTTGTAATCATGAGTATGATTGATTGTTTTCTATGTATAAAATGTATGTATTTACAAAAAAGGATTGATTTATATCAGAAATCTTAGCGAAATCACCACGATGAGACCTAACTTCATTCGCATCCCATTATACTCCAATGATTCCCCTTCAGCGAATACAGTAAGCAGATGATAATATCCAAAATACAAAGAGAAAGATGGAAGTAGGGTATACTGTAAAGAAAATAAAACAACATAACAATATTTTATTCGTATATGACACTTAGAACACACAGATAAAAGAAAACATAATTAAACACTCGCCCTGGTACTTTTAATACGTTGTGATTTTATTTACTAACATTTATCTGTTGAAATAAATAACTTATTATCTAAAACTTAAGTACTTAAGTATTCACGATAACTACAATATTTATTTGACGGCTTCGGTGGTTTAGTGGTTTAGCACACCGCTTCACGTCCGATGTCGCGGGTTCAATTCCTGACACTGTACCAACATTTGTATTCATGAGAATGATTGTTTGTAACGGTCTGGATGTTTTTATATACTTATATAATGTATGTATTTATAAAAAAAGTATCCACGTAGTTATATCAGTAGTATAGTACCCATAACATAAGCTCTGCTTTGAATGGGACTAGATGGCGTTGTGTGAATTGTCCTGGGATATTATTATTATTATTATTATGGCGACATGATAGTGTGTGATACTTAATTAATTATGAAATAAACTACGGAAACTAAACCTAGATTTCAATGAACAAACAATGCTAAAATGAATAATAATGTGATTGTGGACGTGACAGATGTTTTGGGTGCAGCATTCCATGTGTATGTGTAGTATACGGGATCCCTGAAACAGTAGAAAATTAATGATATATTTTATAATTACAACAATAAGTTCAGGGGGATCAGGGGAAAAAAACAAATTTATTTTAAGAGACAGTTTTCATTCAGAGTCATTTCTTTAAACATACTCAAATCAAATCAAATCAAAATATCTATAATCATGTAGGTCTTATAATATGTCAAATCTACCGTCAGTTCGAAGTGCTTTTGAGCTGATAAGAACTGACAAGAAACTCAGTTCTCATTATTTTCAAATGATCACATGTTTACAATAATACAGATTCATTTTTAAATTCAAATTTGGAAGAATAGAGTGACCACCGGGATATGCTATTGCAATATTTTTAAGTAGATAATTAGAGGCAAAAGTACAATTCAACACAGCCATAGCGATTATCCAAATCCGTCCAAATTATCACAAACGTATGTAAACTAGTTGTATTGTAATATAATTTAATAACAGAGTAGGTTCAGGTGTATTATATTAAGCGCACGTCGCACTCGATTCAGATTTTTTTTAGTTAGGTTCACACTGGCGTGATGTTAGGATGCGTTGGTGCATTTGGTTAATCGTTGTAGCATGTATAGAGATTAATCCGAATCGTGCATTGACATAAACACGTGACAGTAGTAGATCAAGATACCCTAAAATTTGGATTTGGATTGGATTTGGAAACTGAATTCATTCATTTATTGATTCATAAATAATTCAATTTTGTTTTTTAGCATGCAATGCAAAGTTTAATCAAAATCGTTATAAAATGAAGAAGAAAATTTCTAGTTACTTATGAGCGTCAGTTTTTTTATTACTATTCCTACAGCACAGTTTTGCTAGCTTCAGTTAAGAAGAACTATGAAGAAACACAACTAATGCATTTTGTTAAATCATTATATATTTAACAAAATGCATTAGTTGTGTTTCTTCTTGCTTTAGCGGGCCCCGTAAATGAGGTTCAACAATCAATACATACTTCAGCATCACGTGAGCAATGAAAGATTGGTATGGCGAAATGGCAGGTTAATAGTGTAATCAGTTTCAACTTTTACACTGCACTTGTACTTTATTACTATAATCATGTACTTATTGACATGTAATTACCTATTATTTATATTAAATAGTTTCATTAACTTTATTTAATCTGTACTCATTATGTAAGAAATTTAGTATTGTCAAATCTCTAACAGAGACATCTATATTGCCAGCTGAATATTATATTTTATAATAGCATTAAAGCAAAATTAAAACCAACGAACAGATGAAAGTAATTGCGGCTGTAATTATTATTTATAATGTATTACTTTTACTTTTTGGACCATTTATATGCATTAGTTTATGTAAAGTCGCAGATAGGTCAGTTTTCTACCGCACCTAACCGGGCGATTAGGTGCGATCACTGAACACACTCCGTGTGCTAAGCGCCTTACTTGAATCAGTATTATAAGATCCTGATTAACATGTATAAGTCAAGAATTAATAGACTGACTATTGTTTTTGTTTAGTTCAGTTTTTTTTATATGTAAGATCAACGCATTATCACTGCAATATTATTGTGTCATCCGACTTGTCTTTTATATGAGCATAAAAAATACCGACTGCATATTAATCTAACACCAGCAAACACTTGATAAAGACCAGTATACAAAGCAATCATAAATAATTTGCAAAAAGTGTCACGTAGACGTACATTTGAAGAGGTGAACACTACATAACCTACATATGTATTTGTATTTATTTGCTCCGTAAGATTTCATTCGCGCGCTTTTTATGTGCGCGTCATTTGTAATGCTCGTAGAATAAATGAAAGATTTTCCTTAATGGGCAAAAATATTACTACGAATTTTTTATAAAAGTTCAGAGTGCCTTGGACCTAGAGTTTCAATTGTTTTTATAGTTACATGTACTTATGACCTTTCAACAGACTTAACTATGAAATAAAGTATCATTTGTTCTTTTTTTAAATGTGATTTTCTAGAAGGAGGGTAAAGAAAATATTTCGCAGTAAACTAATGAAATATACCTACTATTTATTTGTATTATTAATCATACAAGAGTATCGTAAAAATATATTATTACAGATGCATTGTACTATCATAGAGTTACTAATATTTTTTTGTGGTACCAAATATAGACAAAGCTAAATTGACAAACATCTATGATAAGACAATGGTGATTTTTATATAATAAAAATTAGACTCCTGACAGAATTCCGATGACTCCGCACGCCACTCTGCCGCCAGCATTTCCAGTCTTCCTGGAGTCAGGGTGGTCGGACCTGCCGTAGTCATCAGCTCTCTCGTGGAGCACCACAGCCCTACCGATGATATTATGTTCTCCCTCTAAGGAAAGAAGGCTATCGACGAAATCTATGGTAGCGATATTGTTGGCGTCAAATTCTACATTGCCCAAGTCTCCGACGTGGCGGGCTTTGTCCTCAGGATGGCCATGGGGTTGCTGAAATTAAATTCATAGATTACTTACAAGTTCCCCTTTTTTAAATTATTCAATTCAGGCTACTAATAGCCCATATTACAAATACCTTATATATGTATACCTTATACACTAACATACATAAGTAATAATAATATAAATGTAAATTCTTATTTTTTATGTCTGTTCTTAATTTTTCACGTTCGTATGGTCACGCCATCAACGATGGCCACCACGGTAGCGCCGATACACCACCCCCTTCGGCCAGTAGTCCTCCTTAATGATAATATACATTTTATATTAAAATAATTTCTAGACAGTTTTGTATGTACACAATGATAGTACATAAAACAGCATATGAAACTTCTAACTTCATATATATGCATACAATTTTAAAAGATTAAATTTTCAATAAATAATCCTAGAAAATTTAATTACTGAAGACAGCCCAAAAGTAAGCCGATTTTGTATTAGTATCTTCTAGTAACATACTCATTTAAGTCATTTTGATGTGTAACAGTTTTGATCATGTTTTTAAAATTAAAATTCTAATTTTAAAATAAGACGGAACTGTGTAAAGGAAATCGCACGGTCTTTGATTTGACGTCAAATACAAAAAGATTTTGTCAAATCTGGTACATAATTCTGTAGATTAACATGTTCAAATAAATCCTTCCATAACCTGCTTTAGAAACTCATTCAGATTTATCTTGTTCTAACTTATCTAACTTTATAAGAATTTAATACATTTCATGATGGCCTCGGTGATCTAGCGGTTTAACATACCGTCTTACTTCGGATGACCACGGGTTCGATTCCTCACACAGTATAAACATTTGTATTCATGAGTATAACTGTTTGAATAAGTCTAGGTGTATTCTATCTATAATGTGTATGTATTTACAAAGTATTTCTATCAACTGATACAACTGTCTAGTCCAAATACATGAATAAGTCTGCTTAGCTTGAGACTAGATGGCGCTCTGTTAATTGTCCTGAGTTTATTATTATTATTATATATATCTTATCTTACGAATATTATAAATGCGAAAATTTGTGAGATTGTGTGATGGATGTTTGTTACTCTTTCATGCTAAAACTACTGAATGGATTTTGATGAAACTTTACAGTAGATAGATATAGCTTATATATCAGAATAACACATAAGCTATAATTTAAAAATATAGTATGTAAATCGGGCGAAATATAATGATAAATGTCAAGTAAATGTGATGCAGACGAAGTTGAAGTCTGTTAATTATTCTTTTAAAAATATACTCACATTTTCTGGATTATAATGAGATCCGGTAGAAGCGCAGCCATTGCTAAGATCTCCCTTCTCGTGGACGTGGAAACCGTATTGTCCTGGAGCCAATCCAATGATGGTGCCTTGTACCCTGACTTTATTGTCCTCCAGTTGCGTGAATGTGATGTTACCATCTACGTTGTCAGATCTCAGCCTTGCTGAAGCCACGTGTGGTGCTCCCTGGAATAAACACATGTTATTTTTGCTAGAGACACCCTGCTTTGTCCCGTTCTATGTTATTTTTCAAATAACAAGCATATTACAGAAGATGTTAGGACTATAATCGATGGTTTATTATTAAAGAAGAGTAGTGTTCACATTGTTATAAATGTACAATATCAGGTTGATCTCCACGCGATCCCCTGGAAACAACCGTGTTTAATTCCTTCCTTACTTCCTTTAATTCCTTCCAGTGTATTCATCACGACTGCCTAATTGATCTAACTTCATCCTTATCTGATACGATCCACACATTTACTGGTGCCCAGCCAGTATTAAGCACAGGCGGGTGCATTTAAATCGTCTAGGATTCTGTGTAATATTATATTATCTGTGGTAATACTAAAATAAATATTAAAAAAAAATACTGTTCTTCAAGTTTCGTATTGTCATGTCACATATATTCATACTAATATTATAAATATAAAATCTTATCGTAATCGTAATTTCGATGCCAGTTTGTCGACTATCCTAAAACGATACTGTTGTACCTATGTCACCATTGTAGTATAAGTATAAGGCAGTGTAAGTATATACATATAATTACTGTTGTAACTGGCTAATGAAGAAATGTTTTATATTCTAAATTTGTATTCAAAATTTATATTCCTTTTGTAGATTCTTGTTTTGTTACATTCTATTCTGTTATATCAGTAGTCTATAATCTTATATATAAAATTCTCGTGTCACAGTTTTCGTTCCCATACTACTCCGAAACGGCTTGACTGATTCTCATGAAATTTTGTGAGCGTATTGAGTAGGTCTGAGCATCGGCCAACATCTATTTTTCATCCCCCTCAATGTTAGGAGTAGTCCACCCCTAATTTTTTATTTATTGAACAAAATTTTTAGTTTCTTTTTTAGTAATTTAGGATTGTATGTATTTTGATACAACATACAAAAATACATACAATCCTAAATTTTCACCCTTCTATCATCAACCCCTATTTTTTTATATCGTTATTAATTTATATGGCAAAACAACGTTTGCCGGGACAGCTAGTAATATATATTTTTCTCCGTTTACCTAGTCTTTTTTCTTATTACTACATGAATAAACTACAACACTTACTTTGAGATGATGAGCGAAAGCCGCCGCTGCGAGCGTCGCGGTGATGATGAGGACCTGTTTGAACATGTCTGGTTATCTGCAATTAAAGATATTAATTTTCTTACATTATTTACTTTTAATTCATTGTGAGAAATGGTCGTATTGTGTGGAGATCTAACTAACCATTTGTTGTAAGCCATTTCAATTGCATGAAATAAAATATTCGTATATTTTAAAAGAATTCTTGGGATAAGCCCAGTCGTGCCCTGAGCTCTTTTCCCGAACTGTAAAAATTATCACAAACAATCTACAAAAGAGATTGAAGCGGAAGTAATAAATACTGTCTATAGTACCATGTCAGGTGGACCTCCACGCGGTTTCTCCTGGAGACCACCGTTATAAATTCCCGATAAATTTGTCACGGTGGGCTAACTGACCTGACCTCATGCTCATCTTATAATCCTCCACTGGTGCCCCGCCAGCGTAAACCACTAGTACAGACGGAAGCACCTTTTATTTATTTTTTTCTATTGTAATTCTTAAAAAAAAATCTGTCTATTAAAATGAGAGTATTTTGAGAATCTAATGAGAAAATATGGAAGTAATTAAAAACCATTGTCTATAAAATTATTAGGTATAGTGAAAGTTTAAAAATATACAATAATAAAAATAATAAAGAAATCACGGAGTTTGCTACACAGATAATATTTAAAATTAATTAATATTAAATTTGCTCCTATGTTTCGTTATTCTCTTACGATAACGATAAACGTAAACAAAAAAAAGTCAAGGTATGAAAGTCATCATTAATCAAAATAATACTACGATGTTATTACCAGAATATAAACAAGCAATAATTTGCATACTGAGATGACCTCTCACTATCGGTGAAAGGAATATATTTGCCTGGTTAATGTCAAGAACAAAAGGTACTTTATGACATCATATTTTGTTAAGATAATAATTATGTAATAATCTTTATTACATAATAATAGCTGTCCCGGCAAATGTTGTTTCTCTTATAAATTTAAGTACAGTAAATATAGCTATTAAATAATAGGGGTTGGTGGTTGAAGGGTGAATATTTAGAACTGAATGTATTTTTTATAGCACATTATAAAAAAAATGTCCAAAAAATAAAAAATAAATCTTAGGGGTGGACAACTATAATATATCACTTAGGGTATGAAAAATAGATAGTAATCGACACTCAGACCTACTAAATATGCATATAAAATTTCATAAAAATCGGTCAAGCCGTTTCGGAGGAGTATGGTAAAAGGGTTAAAATCATGTTCGGACAAAGTCGCGGAAAACAGCTAGCGAAATATAAAGGTAAACTTAGAATTGCTACAAGAAAAAAAATCACAACGAAGAAATTCGTGTATTTCCCACTGAATGTAACTTTAAAATAAAGTTAATGTTTTTTTTAATATTGTCTCAAGGAACTGCAATAGTGATCATTGCCTTATATGTATGTTTATAATTTGATAATATTAATATACAGTCATAGATTTATATTATGTATGTAATATTTTTATGTAATATATATTTTTAGTATATAATTATTTCTTACACTAAACAATCTTCGAGTATCTCTTCCCTTCTAAAGGTTGGTTGGTAAATAATTTAAGGAAAAGGCAACTTATTGTACAAAATTTAAAAAACACATTAACAATACAGAAAACCAAGAGGAATTCCAATATTTAAAAACAGTTTTATTAAGTAGATTAAAATCTTTTGCATTATTTAAGTTTTATAGCGTAATTGAGAGAACCAATTAGGTACCTAGTGCTTATACTATTAACGTATTAAACTTTGTCTTATATTATAAAATAATATGAAGTGCACAATTATAATAAAAAATTTGCAACAACCCAAGTCTCGGATACAAAAACATTGAAACAGTAATAAGGAACTTATAAAAACATTGCACCGTTTATTTACAATATCAAGTCAAATAATTATTAAGATAAAGATCAACTTATTTGTTAATAATGTATTGTTAAGATTCTATTTACACAGATAATATAATTGAAAAGGCAAAATAAACATCTACAATAAAGATGATTGAGAGAACGTCTTTGCCTTGAAAATATAAAAAATATACAACTCTACAGCTCTATAAGTATCAAAGAAACACGACTCACCTTTACGGCTTCGTATAGCGAATGGTTCCATACATGTTATTCACAATAGTGTTGTAACAACGCCCAACGTACATTGACCCGTCAATTAATCCAGAAGCAACTATTGCTGTAGTAAATCTAGACAGAGATTACAATGTTGTGGGTCTGGTTAAATTGGAAACCCGGACCGGTTTTATCCATTAATCAGACCAATCTACCCAAGTAGTACTAAGCCACTTTTTGCTCATTGTTACAAAAATAAAGTACAGTCATTTACGAGTCGTACTTTCTACCCTAAGGATTCTTTTCTATTTAAATAAATACTGCTATAGTAAACAAATGAGGCATGTACTTATAATAAAATAATAAATAATGAAAAAAAGTCCAATAATTAGACACAAATAAATACGCAAGTAGAACTATTATGTAACATCTATTATTAATTTGCCAAAATCATTTAGAAAAATCAAAAATTAAACTATAATTCGTGTATGTCACTTTCATTTATGTAAAGCAGTCACGTAGGTTTCAAAAGAATAAAATAATGAATTTTTGATAGAACTTTTCCCGTAAGCTGTTCAAATAGACTTACTTACTATTTAGAGGATTAGTTAGATACGATTTTTTATTTATTTATTTATATTACATATATAAGTCAAATCTATTCTCAGTATTGACTACAATATATTCTGTGATAATAAACACTATTTTATTACAATTATCAATTATGAGCTTTATGGTCATCTTCTTAGCTGAACTTGAGTATAGGAATGTAAATAGTAATAATAAATTGACATACGTTCATATGTCATCATATGTGGTCTGTATATAAAAATAAAATATTTTTTTGCATATAGACTGAATATCAGGACTACAATAAATAAGTACAACTATATATGTATATATCTACTTATATTATTATTAATAATATTAAAAATATGACGTTCATAAGCGACTAAAATATTCTACATGAATAGATTATTTTTGGATATTTTTTTGTTTTGATTAATTGCAATAAATAATTTTATTACATTTCAATTCATTTGCATGAATAAATCCTTGTTCATGTAATTTGACTTCGATTTATTCGCTAGTAAAAAGTAGGGTTTAGAAATCTAAACCATTGACGTAGCTAAGGCAAGTAAATAAGGAAAACATGTTTAATTACCAGGTGCGTTGCAGCATATGTCTGGTGCTGGGTAAATCCCACGATCAGCCAAACAGTAATAAAATCTTATTATTGATGCGTTGATCTCCTTTATAACGTAATGGTTTATCAACAAACTGTGTTTATAAACACCTTTTTTTTAGGTTTTGGTCCTATTGTCAGGTGCTTTCTTATTTACTTCAAACTATATATAATAAGCAAATCAAGTTCCTCATATAGATTACACATATCGTAAATGGTATTTTTTTTATTGGGGATTTTCGACTATTGTCACGTGATAAAACCTATAACACTGCGACCTACATAGATCTGCTGTGCTCGCCCTTTTTCAAAGTTCACTACCTAAACCCGTTAGGAACAAGAATTGTAAGATATTCTTAGGAGCGATGGTTTTTATCTCCTCAAATGAGAGTGTATACTTTCCGAAGGAGATATTTCGTTTATGCATGAGTGGACATACAACCACATAGGATGTGTAGTGGTTTCCTCTTCTGCTTGGCAACATCTGCAGATTGTAGCACACACGTTGCGGATGGAGGATTGTTAGCAATGAGGACTAATAGCCTTATTGCTAGCAATGTATTATGTATGTAAGGTACATTGTTAGTTGCCTCAAAATGTTTTCGGACTAGAAATCATTGTTTATTTTTAATATGAAATTGCCAAAATAGGATAACCGATCTGACTTCAACCTTATTCTAGCAATGTTTATAAAAACCTTACTTAATAATATTTCGTACTATTCCTGAAGACTACTGTGTTATACAGACTACAGTGAAATTACAGGATACAGACCCTGTAATTTCACTGCCCTTTAAAAACGACGTTAAACCGCTAGACCTAAGTCTAGCGGTTTAACATACCGCCTTACTTCCGATGGTCGCGAGTGCTATTCCTTGCACAGTACCAACGTTTATATTCATAAGAATGATAGTTTGAATCGGTCTGGTTATTTTCTTTGTATATTATGTATGTATTTACAAAAAAAAAATACTATGTATTCATGTCAATTGTCTAGTACCCAAAATACTAACTCTGTCTAGCTTGGAGTAGATGGCGCTGTGTGAATTATCCTGAGATATTATTATTATTGTTTAACAAAACACAATTCATAAAAAAAATAAGTTCGCAGCAGAAATGGCTGAGACAAATAACTACAAGGATGACTTTGTACAAAGTCTCGGCAAAGAAAACAGACTACGTAATAATAATAAGGAAGAACAATAAACAAGGCTTTTCAAAGAGTCATTATTTTCCATAATTATCATTCACTTATCTGCATGAATTCATTCAAACATTTTCCTCAATACCTAATACCATACGTAATAACTGAGCACTGACCTATACTAATTAACATTACAGTCATGCAGTTCTTAGTGATATATTCTACACACTCATTTATATATGAGGTAGGCAACTGTACCCATCAGATGAAACGTAAATAATATGAGGCAGGCAACTGTATCAATCAGATGAAATGTTATTAAAACAAAAAGGTAGCAATCCTGGGAGTTGATGTCCGGGGAAGTTGTGAAATAAAAAAAAACTGTGCCAATATTATTAATAAACAAAGTAAAAATCTGAAAATTTAACTTCTAATTCTAAATTTATAGAATTATTCTATATTACCGAATATACAACAGACTGTGTTCTGAGGAATTATTCGACATGATGTCTACAGGTACCTTTTACCATCACTCCGCTCGGCATCGACAGGAAATTCATCCCCACTCGCTGGAAACTAAGTGGTCTCGGACAGTGTAGTTTCAGAGGAGCTTCCTCCTGCTTACACTTATATTT